GGGGGGGGGGGAAGGGAGTCACCATGGTCCCTGCTGCTGATGATCATTGTGTTTTGAGGTAGGACAGGGAGGCTGCAGTGATCCATGGTGGGGCTAGGAAGGCAGGGTCAAATGTGTCCAGTAAATTCTCCCAGTATAGTTTTGGTAGCAATTGTGCTGTTTGGAATCAGGAAGGAGTTGCTTCCCTTCCTTGTTCCACCTCAAGAGTGTCACATTTAATTGATTTATCTGAAGAAGTGGGTTGTGCCTATGAAAGCTCATGATACAATCTACATGTTTTAATGTGCTGCAAGACTAGTCGTTGTTTTTTACATTCAATTGGGTTTGTTAATGTGGTATATGTCAAGGACTTTACCTTCTCTGACACGGCAGGTACTGGATACTGTTATCTAGATGAAATGGTCCAGGGTTCTGAACCAGTGGGCAAATACTGTGCTTGTAGCATTATTATATGTTGTCTCACTTTAGTTATCTCTCTGGAGCTGTTGAGTTTTGTGCCTTATCTTTTCCCACAGTTCTAAGCTTTTAGCCCTGTGGCTCACAGCTATGAGACCTTTGTGTGATTATCTCTTTTTTTTTTTTTCCTCTCTTTTTGCGAATTCATTACTGAGACTAACATGCAGAGGATGGAGGCGCCCTAGTACAGATTTGCTTATCCTATTTCCAGCCAGATTAGTGTAGCTTTTTACTTGCTGCTTGTAGTTTACTTTTGCCTGTTACTTCTGTTTCCTGGCTTTTAGACCTATGGGTTTTCCTTCTATTTTTCTGTACACCATTTAAAAATATGGATTTGGGAGGGGATCTCTCTTTTCATAGTATAATTTGGTTTTTTGAAATCTTACTAGTGGTGATACAAAGGAGGTAGCTTTTTTACCTTTTTGTATTCTATTAGTGTTTTGAAATTTTAATTGATCCTGGGACCTGTTTTGCGATGCGGTGTACAGAAGCATAGTAAAAGTGGTCCCTGGCCCCAAAAAGCTTTTAGTTGAAATACACAGTATGGTCAAAGGGTGGAAGAAAAGAATACAGCATGCAAGCAGAGATTGGGAACTGATGGACAGAAATTAAATGATTTGTCCAAGGTATCACATGAAGTCTGGAGCAAAGCCGGAATTTACCCTTGTTCTCTATTCTAGGCCAGCACCTGAACCACAAAACCACCCTTTCTCCTGAATTTTCTTTGGAGAAAGCATTCTAAATTGTTTATAAACCACTTCTTTAGTTCCATGTAAAGATGCATTTTTGAAGATGAGAAATTGGTAAATCAAATGTATATGTTTGTAAATGGAATGACAGGTTTCTCCCTTGTGAATTTTTTGATTATTCAAATAGGATAAATTTGTCAGCAGGCTGTATGATGCTACATGACAAATTCAGTATCGTGATTTGTCCTCCCTTAAGTGGAATGCAAGATTTGTTTCTATAGAGTGATTTCAGAAGTAGGGGACTCTTCCTGATTACCTTTTCTCAGAGTATCTCTGCTTTTTTTGTTGTTGTTGTTTAGATTCCTCCTTACCATCAGAATTATGCAGTATATCTTAGAAAACTAGACACTCAAAACATTAGTTTTTAGTATTAATAACGAGCTTCATTTTGAATCTGGAAGATTGGAGGCAAAACTTGAATAGGTTTTGTATGGCATATAGTAATAAAGGTATCTTAATACTGTAATACTAACGTGCCATCTACAATGCAGTTAGAGTTACTATGTATAGAGCCCTTTGCTTGAGAAAAGGTTATTACTGAATGGAGTATTGTAACTCTCCATGAATTCATTAAGCACAGTATTCAGTGTATTTAGGTTTGATAGACCAGTTGAACTCAACCTTTTTAATAGTGGGGCTACCAGGTGTCAGTGGCTTTTTTTTCTCCTGTAGAATAACCTGCCAGTGTACAAAATAGGGATGTCAATATGTAGTCCAAATAGGGATGTCAGTGTGTAACCCGGGCGTGCTGCAGATAGAGGCTGGTCCGTGGCAGTAGCTTCTGTCTTTGGGGGGTGGGTCCGAGCTCCATGCAGACAGAGGTTGGAGCCTCTGTCTGTGGCCAGAGGTTGCTTCATGGCAGCTACTCCTCTCCCTCACCACAGCAGACTCTGTCTGTGGGGAGCTTGGACCCCTGCCAGCAGGGGCTGCTGCCAGGCCAGCTTCTGTCTGCGGTGAGCTGGGAGGCCTGTGGACAGGGGCTGCTGCCTCTCCGCGCTGCTGCCTCTGTATCAAAGGCAGCAGCAGGGAGCTAGTTTTTAGATTCTCTCTTGGACTGGCTCCCACCTGGTACCCCTTGCTGCTGCCTCTGATAGAAAGGCAACAGCATGGGGTGATAGGGCTCCTAGGGAGTACACTGGCTGCTGGCCCCACCCTCAGGAACTATCGAATAGTCATGTAACTGCTAAGATTTTATGCAGTTAAACCACTATTCAATTTCACTGTATCTAACACACTGGTACAAGGGTTTGCAGCCAATGACTTGTGAACCAAATATGTCTCACTGGGGAGCCAGATACGGCTCTTCTGGAGCCCCATCTCAGCCTCTCTAGCTCCCCTGCAGCAAGGAGCCAGCGCTGGCACTACAGCCTTCTGTTCCCCCACATGATGGGAATGCCAGCGTCGGCTTCCCTGCCGGATCCATTTTGTGGGAACAAGTGGAGCCAAAGATGGCTCCGTGTGTGCTGCCTTTTTCCTTTCCCCAGGACACATTTTCTGGGGGCTTCCTGTGCAAATCCTTCCTGGAGGCTTCCTTCTAGTAAACGGGAGCAGGGGGAGGACATGTGACGTGGCACAAAAACAAGTAAATGTCCCCCACCCCTCTAGTCCCTGCATGCCTACCCTCCCCATGCATTCTTCCTCCCCCTTGGCCAGACAACCTGCCCCCAGCCTGCTCCTGTCCCCTGGCCAGACAGCCTGCTCCAGCCCACTCCTACCCCCTTGACCCGGCCAGACACCCTATTCCCAACCTGCTCCTGCACCCTACCTCCCACCCAGACTTTGCACCCTATCCACCTCCCACTCAGATCCTGCACCCCCATCCCTAACCCATTTGCTGGCAGCCCTGTCCCCTACACTTAACTCCTCATTTTGGCCCCACCCCAGAGCCAGGGGAGGGGGGCAGGAAGAGACACAAAATCCACTAAACCTAGAACTCCAGAAGAGTAAGTTTGGCCTGAGGCCTTGAATCTCAGTCCTCCCTGCCTCTCCCCCCCACCATGGGGCTGGAGCACCAGGGGAGTGAGGTGTTTCAGTTGGGGGCCACATCTGTAAGAGTTGAGGGTTTTGGAGGTTTTTTTTTCTTTTCACTTGTGTGGTCCCTGACTGATTTTTCTGTGGGTCAGTGGCCCCTGACCCAAAAAAGGTTCCCCACTCCCGCCATAGATAAACACAGTGTTGAAACCTTTTCTGTTGGACATAATATTTTACTTTCATTATTTAAAAACGAAGCCTGGCCAACAAGCTCCCCGTTGGGACCCAGCCCCCGTGTGGCCACAGCATCATAACACCTATGTTATGAAGCTAGCAGCTTTAGTTGTTTGCACTGACACAGCTTGATGCTCCAGTGGCAGTAATGCTTACAAAATTGCTATTAATAAGTCATATAGATTTGTAAACCTGTAAGCTTTTCATTGAATAATCGTGTTGGTTTCTTTCATAAACATGTAAGATTGGTCTCGAACAAGCTCAATTGTCTTTCCTTTTTATGTCTGTGTGCAGGCTTCAGAATCCTTTACCAACTATTGTGACTGCTCCTTTGAAGAATTTTGGTAGTTGATAAGCATTCTAGGGGATGGATGTATCCATCCATGTACTGAGCTCAGGTTAGGAAAGTGAGGAAGAGGTAGGCTGAAACAGCATAGGAAACAGGCACTAATCAAGCTAGCTTCCCTGTGAAGCTAAAGCTGGAGAGCAAAATGAAGCTATAGGTAGATCCCTGCGAGACAGAGGGACAGAAAAATAGTGTTGGACATTGAGATTCATCTTGATTAAGATGAATGCTT